TAACGCTTTACTTGCCTATATTCAATCAATTCGGGGTTTTACATAATCATCTTTCATTGTGTTGGGGATGTTAGATCCCCAAAACTCGTTTGATAAATGCCTTATTTTGGATTCTACGTTTGCCAGTATGAGCTGATCAGCTAACCTTGAGATTTCAATTCCCACCAGGAAAATCCATGGCTGTGATTGGCTGCTGTGTATTTTAGTGCGTTATATTCTTAACTGTCCCAAGGACGTTTCTGTGATGTATAAATAAACAAGAGTTGTATGCTTGATTGTACTGTGATTGCTGGGTGTTTGTAGAATATACTATCTACGCTTACAAAGCCTTCTTACTCTATTTTGGGGATTCAAGGTAGCCTACCTGGACGCTGGTAAAAGTCTCGTTCGCGTTTATTGACTAAAGTAAACTCGTAATAGCCTCAAGCATACTTAGTTACGAACCCAATACATTGTCTCTGATGAATAACTGTCTTACCTCTCCAACATGGTTGAACACTACTGGTCACTATTTTTAACTGGATATTTGAGAATCATCTCTCAGTGATCTTCTAAGATTAATATCTCATATAAATAATGTAATTCAACAAATACCACAAACAGTTCTTTACTGAATTATTATTATTATTATTATTATTATCATTGTCTAATCAGTAATTCATGTTTTAATGCATACTGTGTTTTCGTTTTGCTTAATCACTGCTTCCAATCAGCTATTTTTAAGTGGGATCATTCTAATGTTTCTTTCCCTTCCCATTGCCGAAATATTTGTCTGCACAAATAGGGTTGATTTGTTTTCATGTTCATTTTCTGTGTAACATATTTTCTAATCTGATCAGACAATTCTTATAATATACAAAGCATTTTATAAATTTCTTATACTTAACGTTAAAATAACTCTCGTTAATGTTGATTATGTTTAAAATGTTAATAAATAATTTTTTTTCTAATTTGTTTACAACTCTATTACATCATTAGAAGAAGAATATGGGATAAGATCAATGAGTTAATGAGATAATTTCTATGATGAAATCAATGTAGCAGTTAAGCGGTAGAAAACTAAACGTCAATGACTTAAAAGCATAAAGTGATTAAAAGAGTACAGACGTTGGTTTCATGTGAGAAGTAGTAAGAAACTGAATGAGTACAAACGAGAGCACCTCTTATGAATTATCGAGTTTTTTTGACTGACTCACACAATGTTAGGTAAATATCAAAACAGTAAAACACAGTTTATAATAATAATATCTATTATTTTTATGACTTATGCAAGATACAAATGTTCGACTGATATAAATATAATCTAACCAATGTGACACTGTTGACCAATTACATATCAGAAAGTTCTTGAACAAAGTGAATAAAATTGCGAAATGAAGAGCACCACATAAAATTTCAACTCAAGATTTAGAGAAAGACAAATGACCCCTATATTATTGTCTACTATATAAATTCTGTAAGCAGAAATTTCGATTATTTTCATGGATCCCGACTAGATTGAAACCAACGATCATTTGAGTTGTTTTATTAACGCATTTATTTACTTAGTTGAACACATAAAAACTGGTACAAAGGGGACACCAGAATATATATGCACCAAACAAATCGTTGAATTTGTGTGTAGGTTGTGATGCTAATCAGATGCCCAAACCGAAGCAGGTCGTTTATTCAGTAGGTCACTCACTATCTGAGCCCTTGATCTCGAGTTCTGATCCACAAGGCAATGGAGCAACGTTAGGAGATTTGACCCCATGGTAGCCGTTGACTAGCCTATGTGCATAGGCTATTTTTTTTTCCTAGATCGTGGATCTCATCTGCATTATTGGTTTTAAATGAATGTTTTCCGAGGGGAGCAGACTCTAACCAATCGCAGTCGGATCGGTGCTTCTCTTGTCACTGTAGACTAGTGTGACTAGATGTGCATAACAGGTTTTTCAACCGCATAACTAGATTGATTCTTTTAATCTCACTATCTGATTTGCAGCCTCTACCTAGAAATCTGCTTCTGACCTCAGGATCTCTTACTAGGTAGTCAAAAAAAATACAAGTGCAACGCCTACGTAACATCAGGCGATCATATGCTATTTGTCAAAACATGTCCTTGACCATGAAAAGTTAAGGTTCCCAAGTAAGCTTATACATGTACATCTCAGTGTAAGTGACAAGTACCGATATATATTCTTTCTTTTACTATTGATTCCTACCTTTCGAATTCTTTTTAATCAATTATCATCATCTTGTAGATTATAATCCATTTAATTGTTTCTCCGCATACATACATGAGTGTAGTCATCAATTTATATTTCTAAGGTTATTTACTTTAATAAATCTATATATCAGGTTACTTCAGTTCAAGTAGAATGATATTATCTATAATCTGTATATAACAATTTATGCATTTGCTTGTGACCTGTTTACTTTCATATTGTTCTTTTTTCTTTACTATCAGTACGATTTTTAATGTTTATTTTACTACATCATTCATTTGCTATTTAAACGAGACGAAACTCCATTCATTTAAAGTTAATGGGTTCTACTTAGTAGTAGTGAAATCCAACACAACATTTCATCTTGTTTGGGTTTCACCACACGGATATAATTGCATACCAGTGTTGGTGTTCACATATGAAATGATGAGTTCTGAATGGGACAAAACGTGTGTCATAAAGTTCCCTATTATCCATAATCCATCCATGATCTCAATCGATATATCGAGTCAGTGCATAGGGGATGCATGTTTGCTCAGCATTTACTCATCAAAATTCAGCCTTATTTTCAATAACAGAAGAAACTCGAGTCCATACTATTAAAAACAGAAACTAATCTTTTTCTACAAAATATGAAAATGTAACGCTTCTATTTTCCATGTACTGTATCATGTCTGTATAAATGCTAAAAAACGAAGTTGAATAAAACTTACCTAATACATTAATCAAATTGTAAATGCTTTGTTCGTAAAATTATAAACATTAATTTTTTTCTCCATTTGTCAAGTAATCATAACAAAAGATTCATAATTTAAAAAAACCCACTTTATTCATTAAGAACACTTTTGTTAAGAGTTGAATATCCTATGAATATAATTGCCAAATTGATTCCCCCTACATACAATATACTCTACCAGTTTTAAATCACCTATGATAATCTAACATTATCGTCGTCAGTAATTTAATTTTGGGAAGGTATTTTATTTTTATTTTGTTTTCAAAATGAAAATAAATAAATAAAATACATTAAATTGTTTTTTACATTTTCGATTATTTCAAATACAATTAGTCGTCGTTATGTGTTGTCAGTCATGCACATTCTGTCATTTTTGTTGTTGTTGTTATTGTTATTGTTGATAGTATTGTTTTTAAATAATGGAAAATCGTAATCTTTTCAACCTGTTTATGTAATAAAAATAATAATAATGGCAATAATAGTAATAGTATTACGGGGTTGTAAAGTTACACATTTGAAATAATAAAATCGATCAATGTTAGACCACCATTGGTAAAAACCTGGAAGCACCGGACGGCCGTCTCGTCTTGATATGAGACTCATCAGCAGTGAGCATCCACGACTCCTACACCTCTCAGGATTCGAACCCAGGACCTTCGGTCTTGCGCGTCAACGCCTAACCTCTGAACCACTGATAGTAATAGCTAGTAATTATATCATGGGATATGTGTTAACACATAGTTGAAAGTGAATTAATAATTTTATCGTATTATTTTTAAACTTCTTGGATTTCTTTTTAATGAAATATTTTACAATGAATGTTGAAAGTGAAAAATCCGTGTTTTTTCTTTTGTGGCGGCATGTTTAATCATTTAAAAGAAATTTTTAATATAATTTATAAAGATAGATGTATGCTGTTAGACATTGTTCAATAAATGAATTATTTTAAAGTGTGATTTTCATTATAAGTTTCATTTCAATCCCTGTCTCTTTTTATTTCGTCATGTTTGCTTAAAATGAAATATTTCAGAAACAATTACACTCCTGCGTTCAGCATTTACATTTCAAGCCAGTTACAACGTAAAAATTCGTACGTTCACACGTACATAAGCTCAGGTTGCGATACCACATTAGCACAAACACTCATCGGTCAGTTCAAATCCCATAATGGTAGAAAAAATAGAAGTATTAGCGGTAATGGAGAAGATTAGGGTTCGAAGATGATTATTCAAGAAGTATAATTTACATTTACAAAATGAACGAAATAATAACTGATATTATTGAATATGTCACATATTCAGAATACTAAGAATGTTACAGATAACCTTTTTTTAAAAAAAAAGATTTTCAACATTATTTCCGAATGAATTATTAATGTTTGAGTAGGACAGAAAAAAGATTACACTATTTAAAATGATTGTAAAAACATGAATTGTTCTGTACAATAGTCTTGTGTTTTTGTTTACACTTGATTATTCCAGATAATTGATTCATGTTTACTTCAAACATGGTTGTTTGCTTCCTAAACAGTTAATTGTGTAATAATTTAATAGATATTTTTCTGATATTCCAGTTATTTGATTCTTTTTTTCTAGATTTTTGACTATGTCTTCACTGATAAAAATAAAGTCAATAATTATCTAGTTTTTTAATATTCAAAGTGCATTCGCCATTGTGTGTTTATTAATTATTCAATAATCATTGAGGATATTCTTGTGTTAACATTGTTTTTTTTCCTTAAAAATTTTTAAAGGAAAAAAAAATCATGTTCTATTGAATAATGTCACAACCTAACAACTGGTAATAAACTTTCTCCCTAGGTGTGGTTAATACATAAACTAAACCTCATTAGGCGGAATCCTATTGAATTTCACTGGGGCGTATTATTCACAACATCAATATACCAATAATAATAATAATAATAATAATAATAATAATAATAATAATAATAATAATAGTGATAACCGAAAAATATTCTTTTTTTTTAACCTTATGTAATTCATTTCCGTATTAGGTGATGTTGTTTTCTTTTTCTATTTTTGTATGTTATTCTCTAGGTGATATGATGACGTTGTTGATGAAACAAGATACATTGACAGAATCTCAAACTCAATTTTATATAGCGGAAACTGTATTAGCAATTGATTCAATACATAAAATGGGTTTTATTCATCGTGATATTAAACCGGATAATTTATTACTTGATGCAAAGGTAAATGTGTGTTTTGTGTGTGTGATTGATGTCTTTCATTATTGTAATAAATAATTAGTGAGTATTTCTAGAATATTATCATATGATCATGTGATTGGATTGATCTAGTTTTCATCAACAAGTAGTTTGGATCAGTTTGGAGTGATTTCATTGCCCGATTTTGCGAAACTCCTCCAGCTTTTAAGGGTTTTTTCAAGATATACGATTTGAGCCTTCCTTGGTCAAATTTGTGTATGTTTTTGCGTAGACGCATTGGTATCGTTTAATTGTCGTCCTTTTAATTGAAGAGTACTCTTACTTTCTTCATTGTTAAAATCTGCCTCAATAGATACAGTCCGTCTTGTAACCGATATTTGTTCACTATTTTCTTTTTTGGTTCATAAGAATGTTCTTGTTACGGCAGGTTATCTTCTTAAATATATTTTAAAATGTTGTGAGGACAGCTGTTCTTTCGAGTAATAAACATATGATGACCTTCTTCAGGTTTTGGGAGATGAGAGTGTTGTATGGATGTTTAGCTCTTATTGTGTATATGTGGGTCCGTTTGTTTCTTGTTGGCCTTCTTGATTAAATCCTCTTTATCGGAAGCCACTATGCTGAGTTATTTATGAACTAGCACTGTGATAAGTTTGTTCTCGTTCTCCAATCTTATCGAGGCATTTTTGTTCATAAACGGTTGTTAATTATGTGCTGTGTCAGTTAAAAGCAATAAACATTTCTTTCCGTCAACTTTTAAAATTCATCAAAGAAATTTCCATCTAAATTCACAGCTTAAATCGACAGTCCTTAATTTCATCAATTAGTGTTGTGGATTCAATTTAAATCACACCTGATATTGTTTCATCGAAATCCTACTTCAACTGACATCATGCATTAAAACAAACAATAGTTCAAGAAGATGTAACTGTTGGCAACACACCTTCTGTTAGTGTTTATAAATCTGTCCTTCAATTTAATCTACTGATCAAATAATAATATTCAATTCACCATATAAATTAATTGTTGTATTTTGGTGCAAATTACATCATAAATTGATTGTAATCACATGATCTTTTATGTTAATTTAATTGAATTCCAGTGTTTATACTACTAATAAAATGATTATGTTTATGAATACATTTATGATTATTATTAGTAATTTTATGAAAAGAAAACATCATAATTTCAGTTCATTTTTTATTACGAAAAAAGAGAGAAAGCTCATTCTTTTTGTTTTACCAATCTACTTCCTTTTTTTTCAAACAGTGCTTTGTTCTAATATATGCTATACACAAAGCTAGTGTTTATAAATATATATGTTCGTTCACTCACTTCATGATTGCTAATCTCTTGTTTTAATCGGCATTTTCACCTTTTCTAAAAAATTGTATTCATAGTGAAAATCTCAAAAGGACCCCAGCAAAACCCACTTAGAAAATCTGTAAGCTCTGGACGGTCATTTCATTCTAGTATATTAATCTTCAACAGTGTGCATGCACGCGATCTTACATCAGGGAATCGAACTCAAATTTTCCGGTCCCACTCTCGAACGTTTAACTTCATACTTCACTGAACCAGCATCCATTGATGTACATATCAGCCCATATTATTGCACAACCCCCATCCATTGCCTGACATTCACTGATCATGACTAGAACTCCAGATAGTTACCTCTTGAAGCTCTATCCACTCACTAGCAAGCACATGAATGTTGTTGATTTAATAAGATCGTGGAATTTTCATAGTTTGAATCATGAACTGATTTTTATTAAACCACCATTGAAAATAGGATACGGGTTTGCGAATCGATTCAGACAAAACAGCCGTTCTGTGCTTTTATGTTTTTTCAATGATGGTCTAGGTAAGATTAATTTATGACTTATTATAAAAATTCTACTATCTCCATAAATCCACGCCATATTTTAGATTATTTTCTCTGTTTCTTTCTTTTTATATTCCACTATTCAATCAACTAAACTCATCGTTTATCTGTTCGCATTTATCAACATAACACAATTAAACAAAATTACAAAATGCTACCCATATTGTCTGGAAATGATGCATATAGGGTCATATTAAACTAAGTGATTTTGGCTTATGTACAGGTTTGAAAAAAGCGCATCGAACTGATTTCTACAAAGATTTATCTCAAGCTAAACCAAGTGACTTTTGTAAGTGTATTGTATTTTTGTATGATATTTCAATAATTAATTTTGCACCATATATTGTGTGTTACTAATCTTATTATTGTAGTCACCTCTATAACTATTAACTTTCAAATGAGAAATTGTACTTTGAGATAAATTAGAAATGGGTAAGTACTATCTAAGGCTAGCGTTGTTATATATGCGTGTGTAAACATTGGAATATTTTTCATTCGGTTATTGATTGATTAAATTAACCTTTACTACTTACTCAATTTAGCAGTGTTCAGTGTGAACAGTGTTTATCAGTAATGTTTTTGATAGGTGGAAATCAATCATTTGACTTATTGCATTACTGTATTAAAGAATTGTTTTGCCTTTCAATTGATTTCTTTAATTTCAATTTGACAAAAATTCACAAGAGGTCAGTAAAAACGTCAAAATGTAAATAACTTTTTCTTTGTAGTAATGGTTTCAGTTAGTGAAATTTTAATTTCCCTATGAATGGGTAATTTCGATTGATGTTTTATGTTTAGAAAATTCCCATCCTACGCCATATATGTGTACACCATATGCTATACTGTTATATAGAGCTGAAGGTTACCTATGAGACCAGAGGTTCTCTGTGAACATAGTGGATGGCTTGGCATTGCTTTGACAAGCATCGCTAACAGTCCATATACAAAATTGTTTAGCAGGGCGACCGATTCCATTGATACTAGTGGTTGTTTTGCAACATTCCCGAGGGCCATTGTCATTGGGGTTCTGTATTGCATATCACTATTACTTATAATATAGTGAGTTTAACAGTCATGTAAGCGGGATGGGTCAAACTGGCCTGTTCATGCAGTGCATATTGATTGACGCGATCATGGATAGGAAATAATCACTATATATGTACCAGTGTATATAAATAGTGTGAATTGTCCACCAGAGTATCAGGTACCTGTATGGTGTTGCACCACGGCATTGAACCGAACTGTTCATGTCGTAATGCTAACACGTGAGCAGTCTCCTTGATTCTCCTGAAAACCAATGTAAAATTACCCTTGACAATAGAGGGTTAGTTTATATAATTGTGAATAAACTGGTTGATCCTGGCAGTAGTAGTAGTCATGATTCAAATCCGATGATGTCGTTGCTTTAGATCCTGGCGCATATTGTCCACATATAAGTGTAACATCAGATAATGGCAAGGCAGTTGTTGATATAATCAACAAACACTGAATCATCATTCACGGTCTTCAAGAGAATTTCAATCATGCGAAAATATCCATCCATCCATACATACAAACACACACACAGATTCATTCCATTGATTTATGCAACAAATTATCGATTACATTTGTTATGATCACTTTAAAATATCTATCCTTTAATAAATAATAATAATGATAAATTAAATTATGCCTCAGATATTTTGAGTATATATTTATTTATGTATGCAACAAGGATTACTGTTAGATAGGATAAATATTATTTATTTGACGTCATCCTTTCGTTTTTACACAAGCCGACACATTTTTGCATGTATGCACACTTGTATAGATTCGAGATATTCGGATCAATAGTTAGTTGATTGTATGTAATTTTGTTAAATGGAAAATCCTTATCTTAATTTAATATTGAAGTATGATAAATATATATATATATATATATATATATATATATATATATATATATATATATATAGATGTCCTTTATATCTGTTTTCTTTTCCTTATTAAGTTCACTGATAAATTGTATAATTTACTTTGTCATTATAATAGTTCATCGGTATTGACTTATTTAATCAAGAATTAAAAAAAATTCTTATTAACATTATCATTATTGTAAACAATGTCAGCAATGCTCTAAATACTTTCTTTTATTATTATTTTGAATTCTTCATTTAAAATGAATTAGGTCGTTTTTGAATAATATATAATTAAATCCTTTATTTGTTCGATATATATATATATATATGTTAAAGTGTCAAATTATGATAGTATTCTTAAAAAAATTTCTAAAAAAATATTCGATATTTGAACGATATGATTGTATGTATGAATAAATATTTGTTTTGCGTGCTTGTATGTGTGTGCGTGTTAAGTTTAACAGAAGCTGTTATTTGTTTACGTTGCTTTTATCTTGGTCTTCCATGTATGTTATGCAATATAAACTAACTTCATTTGAATGGTAGATTTTTTTTACCAAGTACAATCCAGTTGATGAAGTGATTTTATGTTTGATCACAGGTGACTGACCTTGAGAATAAATTTCCGAAATTCTAGTGAGAAGCTATGACTGTAGTGAATGAGAACACAGGCGGGGCAACCGAATTGTATTTAACGTAAATTACAGAGTTACTCAGTAAAATCGGAAAACCATATCGTAAATCGTTCATTTGCAAAAGATCAGTTCTTCCTATGGAACTGGACTGTTCCTGTTGCCAAACATCAATCCATTGTCACTATTCATGCGTTTCATACAAATTCCATTGTTTTCTGACTCTTCCTTTCTTGATCTTCCCCCCATATTATGCTACCAGACTTTACGTTGACACTCACGTTATATACTACTTATAAGTAGTTCGCACCACAGCACCACACTCGTCCCCCCTTTTAATGAGCTGTCGTCGTAGTCCTTCAAAACAGAGCCCCTGGTCAGTTGATATCACCTTCCGTATTCCGTGACACGCTACAATATGCCGGATTACCACTTCGGTCATCGTTCTTGATCACTGGTCTGGAATGGATACGGCATCTATCCAACGTGTAGCGTTTACAAGTTCCCGATGCTGGAACACGGCGGCAGGCACACACTCGATAAATTGCGACGCCAAAGACTGTGCCCCACCCACTCCTCACGGCGCAACCCGGTGAGCTCCACAGCAAGCACCAACAGGTCACCATCGGTCGACAGCCGCGCCAACCGGAACCTCCGCGGCGCCTCCTCCCTGTCCGCTGGGCTGTCGAACTCCATTATCAGCCGCCCGGTGACCGTCTCCCACGCCGTCTCCTCGGTGGCACCGTCCAGGCTGTCGTGTACCGCCTTCGCCTCACCTCCCCGCAGCGTCCCCAGCACCGTCAGCTCCGCCCCAAGCCCCCACCAGCCCCACCGTGGCCCCAAACTCCTCCAGGAAGCTCCGCCAATCTCCGCCCTGCAACTGCTTCGGCCACGGGAGCCCCCTCCTTCGAGCAGGCAGCGACACCAAATGTAGTGAATGAGAACACAGGCGGGGCAACCGAATTGTATTTAACGTAAATTACAGAGTTACTCAGTAAAATCGGAAAACCATATCGTAAATCGTTCATTTGCAAAAGATCAGTTCATCCTATGGAACTGGACTGTTCCTGTTGCCAAACATCAATCCATTGTCACTATTCATGCGTTTCATACAAATTCCATTGTTTTCTGACTCTTCCTTTCTTGATCTTCCCCCCATATTATGCTACCAGACTTTACGTTGACACTCACGTTATATACTACTTATAAGTAGTTCGCACCACAGCACCACATGACCAGTAACGTTAAACCGTATTAAGTTTGATGCATTTATCCACCCAAAGACAATGGTTGATGATCACGCAATTTGGTGAATTGACTGAAGCGAGACATTAACACCGTTGAATACCGACTCAGTGATCTATATTTTAGGCGTTATCGCACAAGACTGAAGGTCCTGAGTTTGACAACCGGTTGTGGGGTTATGGATGTACACTATTGAGGAGTCCTATAGTAGTATGAAATCGTTATCATGTGTTTCCAGGTTTTTAAAATAGTGTTCGTGTAATATAACTTAGTGTCAAGACTAATTTGGCTCAGTGCTATATTGCTTAAACTTACTTGTGTGATTAGAAGTCTAGTGTTTTTCGTTGTCAACTTTAGTTGTCTCTTTCAGCAATTTGTTTATTATCAGCACTAGTTTCTTTGTAGTGGAATGTACTAATTTTAATGTATACACGATCAATGATACACAAATTTGAACTCCACGCTTGTCAGTCAGCCAACAACAACATAGAACTTCGTACGTACGTACATCAGTTCAAGTCGCCATGCCACATTAGCACAGAGATGCAATTGTCACTTCAAATCCCATACTAGTAGAGCTAGTAGAAGTATTATCAGTAATCGGAGAGATTAGAGTTCGAGGAAATTATTCGTGAAGTAGAATCTAGTGGAATAAACTTAAAATAAAAAGATATAGTGTTGATGAATTCAGAAGGTCCGGATTTGAGGGAACACAGAGAATGAATGCACCTGCACCATTGCAAACGGTTTTGAAGCATGTCATTCAGCGTCTGTAACCATCGATTATTATCATTTTGCGGACCCCGACCAGATAGTCGATATTTACAGACATGACTCAGTCCACTTGTCAGTGACTTCATGGATTTGTGCCATATTTTGGTTTGGCCGCCCCTAGCATTCTTCCAACCTTATCATACACCGCAGAACATGGCTCGTCGAGGCAGTCGGTGGTTGGGCATTCGTAACATATGTCCCAATCACCTCAACCCATGTATTTTCATTTCTTCATCTATTGACCTGCCATCCTTACCTAGGACCCCCTTCCTAACAACAGCATTGCTTACTCGGTTGTTCCAGGATATACGAACAATGATTCTAAGAAATGGATAATTGAGAACCAGTAGCCTACGAATATCTTCTACTCTTATCAGCCATGTTTCACAGCCATGAAGTAGGACAGAGTGAACTACTGCGCAGTACACTCGTCCTTTAGTCAGCAAACGGATATCTCGCCTACGCGATAAGTGATGCAAGTTAGCAAAAGCCAATCGAACCTTGTGTATCCGTGCTGAGATAAGTGAATCTGTCTGCACGCTCGACTACCTCACTTCCTATCACTAGTTCAGCTGCCGGCGCAAGCCAATCTTGAAGCAACACTTTGCATTTCGACGAGGAGAATCGCATTCTTAACATGCCTGCATTATCGCTCAGTGTAGTCAGGAGACTGCATTTTGTCAGCGTCTTTACCAAATAGAATTGTGTCATCAACATACTCTAGGTCAGTAAGCATGTTT